GAGTACGCATCGCTATCGAGAACAGGAGGGGCCTTTTCGACCACATCAATCTTTAACTATAGCTAAATAACCCTGAATTTAGAGGCATATGTCATTCCCAAAGTAGGTTATACATGTGCTTATGGCTTGTTATTTAGAATAGTTTGGATACCCAGAGTTCGCTGTCAGGAAACGCAGCTGCAGCTGCAGCTCAGCACCGCACTGACTTTTCTTTTCGAAAGGAAAAGTTCGACTGTAACTGATGCCACTGCTGCTTGTTGCAAGCTTCCTGCGCGTGCACATGCAAAGCGAATGGAATGGAATGGAAGACAATCGCATTGCTGTTGCTGTTGCTGATGGTGGTGTTTTGGTTTCTGTTGGTCAGCTGGGAGCTGGGGCATGCTTCGTAATGGGTGAAATGTCGGAATGCAACAACAATTGGGGCGGTCGCCTTTGCCATCACGCTCATCGGGGGCGCTGGGCTGGGCGCTGGGCTGGGCGCTGGGCGCTACGCCTACTTACATTGATTTCTGCAACCAAATGAAAAGGAAAACCACCTAAAGGCAGCCAATGATTTATATTTCCGTCTTGCGGGTATGCCGAGCGTGCGTTTAATTGCGAGCCGCACCCGAATCGCAGCGAATCGAAAGACTTGGGCAACGAACTTGTTGGTTGCCTGTTGGCCACGTTTAATTAAAAGTTCAAAGCGAGCACGCGAAAAAGAAATTGAGCCATCAATTGAGGCGGCCAACCAGATAGTCCAGTACAAGATATATTCGTGGTGGTATATCAACGACCACAGACTTTGGGTCGGACAACATTGAGAAGGCGACCGAATATATTTAGTGGCAGTCCTACTCCTACAGTATTCTTGCTGTCCTATCGACCATTTCTAAATGGTCGAAAGGCTCATTACGGTCAACATTTCGAGGCTGCATCCGACGATGTTGCCACCAAACGAGGTGGCAATTAGTGCAATGTTTCGCGCCATTTGTCTAAATTTGGTCATGCTATTGGCGGTTGCCAATTTTATGGCTTCAAATAAGTCAGAGGCAGTGTTGAAATGCCGCCTCGCCAACTTATGGCTTAAAGACCATAAAGCTCTGACGCATCGACGACGACGTAGCGAAGCGATGGGCCTAGGATCATCTGTCTTTAACGACACTGTCATCGATGGTGGCATCAGTGAGACATTAAACAAATGGCGCTTTACATAAATTAGCGCCTTGTGCACGGAAACGCTCGATCAACACAAACAATCGAGTGATATACAGCGTGCGTTTCAGGGTTTGAACTCTTTGCCACAGCTTGTGGTGTGGCTGAACCTCACACCACCAGCAGCAGCGCCAGGCAGGGTCACCTATAAATATTCAACGATTTAAAGATACGACAAATTTATTGATTTTAAATGCTCAACATCAACATTTTAAGCAGCGGCATTCAAATAAATTGATAATAAAATGCCTCACGCTGATCTTCAGCAAGTTGTCCAGACCAGACGTGTTGCTTATTTAGACACGAAGTCTACCACAGCCATTGCCGGCAGTTTTTGTGTTGCTACCAAAGTACGAGTACCCTGAGTGCCATGGGTTTTATTGCCGCTTCCGACTGACATACTGACATGAGAGTCAAGTTGCTCATCAAGGGGCCTATGGCTGAGAAGTTGTTGTTCGAGTGCACTTCGGGCACACCGCATGAAAAGGCCAACGCTGCACAGAGGCATTGTTAAATTATAAATTATAAAGTAAACTGTATGATAGTGTGAGAGCCGTTCTTAAGAACTGTAAGCTCGGAATGTTGTGGACACGGGTACGCGAACTCTGATATGATACGTAGATTGCTTTCAGCAAAAGTCGCGTAATGTGCTGCACTTATTTACGACCAAGTAGAGCAGCAAAAACTGAACCAAAGCCAGCGACTAGCGCCAAACAAAACCAATCAGGCTTATGGTCGAATTACTGCGCGTTGCATAACAGCCCAGCCGCTTTCAGCCTTAGCTCTGGCTTTAGATTCGGCCTCAGCTTCAGCTTTAGCTTCAGCTTTAGCGTTGACTTGACTCGTACAATATATTGTTTAGTGGAGCAGAAAGCACGATTGCATAGCACTGGCGGCAGCGACACAAATGCAATAACAACAGGCTACAACAAACAATCAGACCAGCGGCGCGTCGGGGGCTGCCGAGTGTGGCAGGCACACCGGTTGCTGCTGCCTAATACAAATGTCATCCGTGCGGATAGTAGATGGGCAGCTCTAGGCTCTTGCATGGTCAATTGCCGTTGGCACGTGATTAGCTTTCATTGTGCGCCACCGTCGTATATTGTGTATCAGTCACTCAAATCACTCACTCGGTTACTGTAGCACTTGCACTGGCGAATAGTCTGGCTGCCAGCTGCCGGCTGCCATTCGCCGGCGAAGATTCCAAACTGCGACGATTTCGCGCGTTTAACACACAATTTGTGGAGCGTGCCGTGTCTGTTGCATGCTAAGTAGTAGATGATGTATGCTCTCTCTAGGAGCCTTGACACCATTGCAGACATGCTCGCAGGTATGTCTAATGTAGTGTGCGTGCGCCCTCTTTCCGAGGGGATGCAGAATCTACATGGTAGATGCAGATTTAGAAGACAGAAGAAACTAAAAATGTAAACAGATAAACAGATAAAATATGTAAAATAATAATTCGACATAAATTATAACCTCGCGTACTATACATAAGTATACTATATAAGGGTACACTGGGTATAACAGTGGGGGCTTTAATTGACTTGTAAACTGAATTCAAATGAACCATTCATCTACGCCCAATCATGTAAATGTGTTTGCAGTAAAAGAGGCCGGAGGAGACGGTCCTAGGGCCAAGATGTCTTAAGGTTGTCTTTAAAAGTGAATGTAAAGTGTTGTAGGGAACGGCGAAAGCCTGTTGCTCGTTCAATTTAACGTGCCTCTCGTGCCACTCGTGTCCAGTCAAAAGTGCAACCTAACGGCACCGTTATTGTTTTATATTTTTTTTGTTACAATTAATGCTCAGCTGCAAACATGGTTTCGCTCGACTGTGGCTTCATGTGCCTATGATACGTGGGTGGAACTAAAATTATCAAGCTACAAGCGCTATTATAGTGCAGAATTTCTTACAGTTCTCAAGACAATGCATTGCAATGGTGCAAATGTACGGAAAATGTTATCCGTGATTATCAATTCAAAATTCACAAATGTGTATTGTAAAGCGCATTGTGGAGTTCTAAAATTGAATCCTAGTCTGGTCTGACGACTTGGGCAATTCGTGCATTTCTAATTTTTTGGATTAAATGGCTTGCGGCAAGCTTGCTTAATTTATTTTTTTTATCGAACAGCCATAAAGACATAAAGACTCATACAAGCACACAGCCAATCGAATTGGTTGCAATCTACTGAAGTCGGGCGAGCCATCGCCTTGGAACAGCCTTACTTGGCGTTGCATACGCAGCACTCAGACTTCAATAGCTTTGATTGCAAGAATCGATTTCAATTGAATTCAAATTGAGCCTCAATTGTTCAGCGTAATCAGTTGTATGTGTATGTAGTTTCAGTTTTTTCTGACTTTTGTAGGGGGGTTTTCAGTCCTCTGATGCCTGATGGCTTCCCCAACGTCGCGACGTTGCCAAACTCATTCTGTCTTGAGTCTTGAGTCTCGAGCACTGCGCTTTGAGGTCACCTTTCTGAAGCATAAACCGAGCTTATAACGGCACGTTTTTATAATTAAAACTTTTTTGCCAGGGAATTGTCACCACTTGATGGCCGATTCAGTGCAAATCGCTTTGAAGGCGATCACTTTGAATCGCTTTTACTGCTTAAGTCTTTCGGTTGTGGATGCTGGCAATGTATACCGCTATAATGGTCATAAATTTCGCGTACGATATTATGCAACCACAGTGCCGTGCCGTTCTTTCTCCTGCTAGCACTCGTGGGTTGTCTGTCGCCTCTCAATTCAAATTTCGGCGTCGCACGCCAAAACGAGACAAATAAAACCATTGAGCCCTGTCTGTAAAGCGATTATTCGAGGGCAACAAACTTTAAATGATCTGAGGCTCAGTGTCGAGGGCAACAACTGGGCCTCATTCCGATGCGGAACTCAACGGCTGGCTTACACAATGGTTCATACGTATTACGTACATTAGTATATATGTATATCCATTCTTATTAGAGTACAGAGAACGTACTCCCACTGATTGACTCCCACATTCAAGGACGTGAATCCGAATCAGAACTAATCCAGTGTGGAGATCCGATAAAAACAAAAATAGAAATAACACTTTTACCCCTGATTGGGGTAAAAAATAAAACAAAAATACATTTTTTCCATACTCCTTCGTATTAATTTAAAAAGTTAAATTTCTTATAGAAAATTCCTGAGTCTATTCCACTGATCGGCAGTGCATGCCTATAAAATACATCACTTCGATCGTTACCTTTCCGTCATGGATGGATTATGCAGATTTACCGTTTGACTCATCGGATATGTCTGAGCCATCCACTCACTTTATTAATAAACAAACAAAAAAAATACCCAAGCTTAATATTGTTCATGTGGCATTTTGTTAGGATTGAGAAGGTCACGCTTACAACGGTACCAACAAAAACTCTGCAACTTAGCCACACTCATGCAGATGTATGATCGGCGATCGCTCAATGAAGCGCAACTGCAGCTGACAGCGCGCTGCCACTGCTGCCACTGCCACTATTGACCCCTTTCCGTTGCGGCTACCTCTGCTGCCGAGACTTCTAACCCGGCTGCTTTTCTGCCGCTGGAGATGTTGCAAGTGGCAGCAGAGACTTTTAAGCTTAACGGATAGACATATTTTGGCCCTATCATAGTTTGTTTCAGTTGGTCAACTGTCGAAGCAGCAAGTGCATTGTGTTTAGAGGTCAGGCATACTGGAAATACTCTTAGTATATGCGCTGGTTTTAGTATACGTATAAAGCAGATACATATATACAAATTCCTTTTATTTATGCTATTTTCAAATCTGTTCACGTTGCAATTACAGGATACACAGAAGCGCAGGGCAAACGCGCCTCACGTATCACCAGCTCCCGCAGCTTTGGCACCAACGTCAAGTCCACAAGCTCCAATGGCCTCAGCTTCGACTGCCCCGAGGAGTTCGGCTACTACCCTCACCCCACGGACTGCACCCAGTACTACGTGTGTGTGTTCGGTGGGGCTCTTCTTGAGAGCTGCACCGGCGGCCTGATGTACTCGCACGAGCTGCAGACCTGTGACTGGCCACGAAACGTAGGCTGCGAGCTGGTGGACACTTCCACGGAGCGCGGCCCCGCACGTAGCCAGAGCCAGACGCAGCAACATCATCAGCAGCATGTGCCTAGCCGTGTGCGATTTGGATCAGCATTTAGCAGTCCGGGTGGTGCCCCAAAGGCGCCCACAGTGGCGCCGCAGTACCACCGCTCTCCGCCACAGGTCATACAGGCTCAGGTCCAGCACATCCCCCCGCCTCCCCCAGAGCTACGCGTGCCACCCAATCCGGTGGTCACGTCGCGGGGTCAGCCGAAGCCATTGCTGGACGCGCAGGAGGACATAGCGAAGGTTAGTCGTCAACAGACTCCAGAAATTACAGAATACGTACAATCCCTTTGTTGTATTCATATCTACATAGCTATATGCCGAGGCGCAGGAGACACTGCCCCCCGTGGAGGAGGAAGAGTCCGATCGTCAGCAGCGGGTGTATCGCGGCCAACCAAGCACCGTTAGCCAGGTCCAGCGGGATCGCGATGGCATCATACATCAGGCAAGCATTAATGCCATACCCCAGAGCGGGAAGCTTGGATCGTACGCGTTCGGCACAGCCTACAGGTAAGCGATCATTACGGCTAGCAGCTAGCTTGAGTATCATCTAAGTACCTTCCTCGTTGCTTCTTTAACTGAATTGAATTCGTTCTGCATTGATGCTACTCACTCCACCTTACTGAAGCTAAATTTATTCTAAATTCTCTGCAACTCATCGTATTACATGCTCTTTTCTCTCATACAACGCATTATCTGCACTATCTCTATATATCTTGCTCCCACCGTCCACCGACCACCGTCCACCGACCACCGACCACCGACACACCAAAATCCGAACGACCGAACCGCTTTTGGCCAAAAACTGTACGCAAACAGCGAAAGCTTGGACGACGAACAGACGCCCGTATACGAACTGTCACACAACCGACTCGAGGCACTCGATGTGGACAGGCGACCACGCCAACGACGTGACCTCACGGGGCAGACTACGGCAGTTGCGGACACAGAAACTCAGACGCCAACAGAACCAGAACCAGAACCCAATGTGCAAACAGAAATGCCCAACGATTCGAATACGTCGAGCGAAGTTATGGAACCTGAAAGCCTCAGCCCCAACAGCAGCTCGCTGCCCGGCAACAGTGAATCTTCCAATAGCTCCAATAACTCACAGGAGTACTATGACGAGGCGGCTCCTGCCGTACATAAGCCACAAAAGTACTCCTCCAAGATAAGTCAGCCACGCGACGAGAGTGGAAGTGCAGCAATTGAATTCGACTACGTTAATACGGGGGATACAGGTGATGAAGATAGCGAAGACGGGAACGGGAACGGGGACGAAAGCCCAGAGGATGCGAGCACAGGGGAGTCAAAAAGACGCCCGCGTCAACTTCGTCCAGTCACACACACTTCGGCCAAATGGCCGGGCCAGAACTACCGGGCCATTGACGCGCCTCCTCCACCCCACCAAGGGTACCAGCAGCACCAATCTAGCCAAGGCTATAGTTTTGGTAGCTTCAACCCATACCTTACGCCTCCGGCCAACCCCGGCCACACTCAGCAGCCGTACGGCAATCACAACTACAATCAAATAAACTCCGGCTATCCGGCTCAGGCCTATCTCCACCAGCAGCAGCAGATTTCCACTTCGAACCAACAAAAGCCCAAGGTTGTCTACACCGGCTACAATCTTTCACTGCCTCCTCCCCCGTTGGAGGATGACTTCCGTCCGATTGCGGGAAACTACTTCGGAGCGCCCAATGGGATACCAAGCGGACCACGAACACCCCCGCCCAACCTCCAACAGCAGCAATCCAGCCCCGGCGATCTACTGCCGTATTTGATACAGCAGCTGCAGGACTTAAAGGAACGCCGCAAGAATCTGCAAGCAGAGAACTTTGCCTATTTTCATCTGGACAACCAGCCAGTGACACCCGCCCCCGTTTCCGCCCCCACACCCGCCTCACCCACAGCCCAAACGCCGATCACGTACTACTCGCACTCCCAGTTATCAGGCGACTCGTCCAAGCCCAGCCAACACAGCCAAGTGACACCGAACGGACAGTACAGCACCATGGGAGGTTTTTACAACAATCAGAGTCCGGATCAAGCGCTGTACACCCCGAACTATCCCGGGAAACTGGTCTCCCAGTACAGCATAGGCAGCACCACGGAGAGAAACTATTTTCAGTACAATGTAATTGCAAATCAGAAGATGAAAGGGGTCTACAGCACAGCCAAGCCAAACCAAATGGGACATGCTGCGGTCAAGGTGCGCCCCCCGGTCACCCCGCTGCAGGTCACGCAGAGCATCAACATTGTGTCAGCGCCCAACCTGGCCTACAGCAGGCCCAACGGTCTGCAGCAGGTGCCATTCCGCGACTTTTCTCACCTACCCGTAGGCATAAGCTACGCGGGAAACAGCACAGTGCCAGAATCATATCAGACTTTTACAAAGTCGATAACTTCCACAGAGGCTCCGGCTCCGGCAACGGCTCCGGCTCAGGCTCCCAATCTCCCAACGACCACCGCCAAACCCAAACTGACTAATTTTCAGTTCAACATCCATGAATTCATGGCTAACCTAAAGTCCAGCGACTTGGCAAGCGTGAACCCGGCCATAAACCCGCTGATTAAGTACTTCAAGCAGGTGAGCAGCGATGCAAACGGCCATCTGCGCAATGCCTTGGTTCTTCGTCGTCCAGTCCCCCCCCTTTCCGCGAGTAGCAGTGCCAGCACGACGAGCCAGATCCCCACCACTTTGAGTACATCTACACCAAGAACACGACCAAGAGAAAATCCCACCATTTCTACGCCTGCAATTCCAACCACTCCGAGACCGCTCAAGGGCTACGAGAGCTTTATCAAGGGGATACAAAATCAAATCAACAAGCAGACCTCGACACACAGTGCGTCCCCACCAGCAACACCAACAACTCCAGCAACTCCGCGAAAAATAAGACCCACCATCAGGAGTAGTAGCAGCACAACGACTCTTGAGAGCGTCGACTACTATGACGAGGACTACGAGGAAGATGAGGATATACTGCCACCGTCCCACATGCCGCCATATATGCCAATGTCCGAGACAATGGCCCCACCACGCCCGCAACTGGCAGCCACCGCTGCGCCTGTCACTGAGTCGCCTGGAAAAATACGTGGCAACTTTCAGACGGGATTCCTGGAAGCCACTACTACACGGCGTCCATTCGCAAACTTTGCGCAGCTGAACAGCAGGCCCAATGCTGAGTCTGGTGCTGGAGTTCCGTCATTCATCAACTTCCCCAGCGACATATTCCAGGAACTAAAGCAGCGTCTCCCACAGTTGCCAGAGTCGACCACACCTAAGCCAGGTGCTTCCACTCCGCGGAGCACGCGTCCCAGCTCCACGCCATCAGCAATATCGACACGGGCGCCCACAACGCGGCCCCGCACCAGAGGCCAACAAAAGTGGATGACGATGGCTCCAGCTCCAGCTGCAGCTGCAGCTAAGGGAGTCGAGAACAACACAGAGCGGACGAAAAACGAAAGTAGTTCAGTGTCCGGTTACTACTCCGGCAAGCAAAGCCACAGCAGCATAGGTGGCCTCCAATTGAACTCTATTCACATCGGCGGCTCAGGCTCAGGCTCAGGCGGGGACAGACACAGGTAGCTATACAACAAGTCGAGGGCAACCGCAATAACTGCTGTCCAACTGAATTCAGAATTACTTTGTGCCGCTACACAAATACACAAGAAATACCCGTATATAACTACAAAACAAATACAGAAGATAAATGTACATACATACATATACATATACTCAATACTATACGCCCGTCCGCCCGTCGGCCCGTTCGCCCGACATGCGGCACTACTGTTTATACGACCCATTACTAAACGATCTTAACGGATTTTAAAGTTGACTTAACAAATGGTTCTTGGACATGGCTACACTAACATTTAACCTTTAACCCTAACCGTAACCTCAACCATGACTATGTTTTACATGCGCAACCTCCTGTACTCATTCTTCCATTCTTTCATACTTTCCCTTGTACCCTCGCTCCATGATCCATGATCCATGCTCATTATAATGTTTATCATAAATTGAACTACTTTTTGATCTCGTTTTACATTTCTCTCCCCCGTTTTGCGTATGCATGTGTGTCGTACATGCATATATAAATACAATCATTTCCTCTACATATTAAATTATACTTGTATGCCCATGTTTGATTCCACTTGTGCATTTTGGCCAATGTAAATAATCTGCGCCACCCACTTCACCAACACATCTCCAACAAAAACTTCAACAACGTGTACAGAGTTGAGTCATCTTCACCGTCATCGCTGGGGGGGGCGCCAACACCCAACGCTAATATCTTTGTACAGCCCACGCCACAAGCCCCAACGCCACAGCTAGAATCCAATCGTAACTACTACAATGCATCCATATTTAATCACGGGGGCGGCTACCAACTATCGCGGCAGCAACAGCAGCAGCAACAACAGCTACAGCCAACACCATTCCAACAAGCGCAGCCGCAATCGCAATCGCCACAACACCAGCAGCAGGAACAGGCCCTACCAAATCCCTATGATTCATCATATTATTCTGTTTACGACGACGATATCGATTTATATAGGGACATTGAGTATCAACAACAACAGCAAGACCATCAGCAACAGCAGCAGCAGCAACAGCAGCAGCAACAGCAACAGCAGCAGCAGCAATACCAACAACCTGCTGTGCGCCACCAGCAGACTCAATCAACATACCGCCCATTGGAGCTATCGGCCACACCGACCCCTCCGCAGAAGCCGCTATTCAGCAACCAACCGACGTTGACCTACAGCACGGACTACAATGAGGATATTAACGCACAGGTAGGGGCAACTCATATAAGATACACCCAGATAATATCATCCAAAACTGACTGTTCTTAGATCGAGCAGGATAATGTGTACGATCAGCCAACGCGTTCGCCCCAAAGGTAAGTCACACTGCACCATGCAACCCCTAAAATCGCTCATGAACTCAGTCTGGGAGCCTCTCGACGGAAACCGTTCCCCCCACACAGAAACAGTCAGAAGTGTAGAGAATTTCACCTTAGCTGCACTGGCAGGGAGGGGAGTTATTTCTAGTTCCCAAGTCTAGCCCCAGCCCCACCACCGTTAGAATTATGGCCTAGAAAAATTGCACACTCTCCAACACAAACTCAAACACAGAAGCCATCAAAATTTACACATTTCGAAGATCAGACTCTTGCCAAACCGATTACACACACAACCACAATACATTTATCTACCGGAACAGGCCAGACCAGGTGGCCATCCAAAGACTGGATGCGCGGCGAACATCCACGATGACACCCGCCACACCCCCCACACGTCCCGATGTGCGCCACTACTATGATACGATTACCACGCCCAATTCGCCAGAGGACTATGATCTGAGCGAGGGCACTTTGATGCAGGCGAAGACCCGCCCGGATACGAATTCGGGCATAGACACCAGAGATGATTATGATTTGATCGCAAATGTCGTGGGTCACACACAAAGGAAGACTACACAGCCCACAACAACATCAAAAACCACCAGTACAACAAGAACCACATCAACTACAACTACAACTACAACACCACCCTCCACGACAACAACATTAATAACAACAGCAAAACCCCAAAGGTATTTCGGTAGTCCCATTGCGTTAGTATTTGGGCCTGCATTCAATTCATTCAATGTTTGAGAGCGACAAAGTCAAATTAGCAGACTGTTCTCGCCGTTTTTCTCGGTTTTCCCATCTGCAGTTTTAGTTCGCTTCTAAGGGAATAGTTTGTAAGTTCTCATAGTCATCAGTCATCACACGCGAAGGCTTGTAAAATCGGCTCACATTATACACAGACTACACACTCTCCGATATCGCTTCGGGTTAGATTGTCATGTTGATTAGGCAATTAGGTAATCAGGTAATTGACCCTGCTGCTGGCTGTTCGAGAATAGCTACCATACCACTGTGTCTCTCTGTTCTCTGTTCTTCCTATCTTTCTGTTTCAATGTGATTAAGTAAAAAAAAATCCTCTCTCATATTCATTGCATGACTATTTCATAAGATAACCGATACGTGTCATACGCGATATATCAGTACGCATGAGCATGAATTTATAATTTGAATCCATTACATTTGACAGCCCCAGTCGAGAATGAGCAAACCCTTCCTTCATATCTGAATTCTGAATTCTGAAAACTGAAAACTGAGAACCAAAAGGATAGGACTACTAGGGTTTCGAATAACAGAACGCTTAGCAACTAAGTTACTAACTTATGTGATTACTTATTCAAAAACACGTCTCTTCAACAGCTCGAAAGCGCATGCAAATAAAATCTATAAGCAACATGCTATAAACAAATCAAAGACAGCCACAAACACTACACAGCCACCAACGACCAGCACAACAATACCCCCCCCAAACCATCCTTCGACATATAGTTCCAATCCCTTTCTCAAATCAAAGCTCCAAAGCCTAGCCAAGTCGCTGGTCAGCTTTGTCACCGACAGCCACACTCGAGGCAAATCAAATAATTATCATCCAGCTCAGATTCAGAACCAGAACCAGAACCAGACCCACTCCCAACCCCAAAGCCTACCCGAAGTCCATGTCCCAGCACAAACGTATCCCTCAGTTACCCAACCCTCAACCACGCAATGGACTCTGGTGGAGGACGGTCCCAGCAGTCAACTGGAACATGCGGAGACTGTCTTCGATGAGAGTCAGAACGTCCATGTGCAGACGGCCGAGGCACCCAGTAGCCGATCCTTCGAGACCAGCACTTCGCCCAGGTTTCTAGATTTCATTAATGCCGCCGCATACGGCACAAGTCCGCGCGGTAATCTGCTGCACTCGGTTCCAGACAAGCCCGTGAAGACGGCCCACAATCAGCTGCACAAGAAAATTCCATATAGGGGCGTGGAAAGAGGGTATCCAAATGAGCCACGTTCGACCACGCCACAGCAGCCCAGTAAGCGCATCCAGACCTACATCACCTCCGATGTAGAACCACAGAGCTTCAGGTCTCCTGCAGGCGAGCCCCTCGTATCAGTATCATCGATTGAGCTAATGGATACCTCAAGCACCACACCAGGCACAATGCCTAGAAAAGCGCTTCAATATAGCCTACAAGGTGGATCGCACGGGTTTAGTCTTCGTGCTGAGGACATCACCCAAAAAGAAGGTCCGAATGTCTCCGAGGCGCTATCTGATCGGAAGGAGAGTCTGCCACCAAGTACAAGTAAATCTACGAAACCCAGCGAGTCGGATATTGTGCCCACAACATATGCGCCGCCACTTCGTATTTGGCGCAATGGACGACCAACCATTGAACCATATACCAAGGCGACAACCACGACAGCCACATCCGCTGTAACAGCTGATAGCTGGACCGATAGTGTGGAATCGAGCAGCACCTTAAGAACGACGACTACGCCGAAAGCTCAGGGGGCGCCAAGCACAGAGCGGTACATATCGCCGGGACAAAGTTTCACGGCTCGCGCAAACCTGTTCAAGGACTCCCTGAACCGCGTTACGGCCAACCCAGCAATGCGTTTTGTTTCCCCATACAAGAGTCTTGAGAACCTGTTGCAGGAGGAGCGTCAGCATCCAAACACCATGCTGCGGACGACAGCCAGACCGCGTTACACAAATTCGCCAGCTTCACCGCCTTTCCTACAGACCACACAGAAACCGCCAAAGAATCTCTTTCTTTCGGGGATGTACCCTAGGAACACCAGTCAGGATGTGCTTGCCACAATGGCCACGGGTAATGCTCGAAACTTTAGCGTCAGCGACGCCATCTTAAGCACTTTCAGTCCCCATCGACCGGCACAAAGTATGCTGCGTAGCACCACCACCACCACCACCACCAGTACCACCGAGGCACCACCTCCAACACAAACGACGAACACTATTCCATCGACTATATCGGCGATAGTGGCCTCGTCGCCCATTCGAGTTTCCCAGGCTCCTCGCGGCCGCTCTCGCTACACAGTCGCAACACTTGAGAGCTTATCGGAGAGCGTGGACGAGCCCACGACCTATGCCCCTAAGTTCAGGTTACCCAGCAGCTACGAGGCCAATCAGTATCCAAAACGCAAGTCCCCACGCTCCCGAATAGCCGCCAATCAGCGGCCGTCATCTGTCGAACCCACAGTGAAGCCTCATGAAAAGTACGAGTCGTATAAGGCTGCCTTACAGGCCAAGGATTCAATCCATTTCGACTCTCAAAACGTACCAGCAAAGCCGTTTTCCGCGCAAGCGGTGAACGTTAAGTTACTTAAACGCAAACCAATTGAGAATGAGGCAAGCATATCGGATGGGCCACGAGCCGAGGCGTTGATTGGGCAGCAGCCACCAGACGCTAGGCAGCAAAATAGTATAGAGGAAATGGGAACCGCATCTGCATCCAGCTCCACAGAGCACGTGGTAGCCATAACAGACCGTCCCACTGTGAAGTTTCTCTACTCAAACAAATATCGCCAGCAAACGGCGGAAAGCACCTTAGCGGAAAGTCTCCAGAATGCTGGGTACCTAACTACCGGCAATGGGCGGATCCAAAAGTTCCGTCCTGTGAACGTGCTCGAGCAACTGAAGCAATTCCTCGCCGGCAGCGACAGCAATAGCAACAGCGATGAGAGTGGCTCCTCCCAATTTGTTGATGAATATTCGCTCCCAGAAATAAAGGCAGCCGTCGATGAAATCAAGCAGCTCTATGTCCCCACGAGTCGCACTACGATCACCACTACGACTACGCTCCGTCCCACCACTACGCCTACTCCGCTTCCCACCACCCCGTCTAGACCAACAGCAAGCCTATCCAAAGCATACTCCTATTCCTCCTCCACTTATAGCATCTTGAGCACTGATCCCACCTCTCCAACAGTCAGATACACCCTGAGCACCACTCCAGATGTTAGTACTATTAGAGCTCCCACCACCCCAACAACTGCTACCTCTACCTCTACCGCCACCGCCACTGCCACTGCTACACCCTCCTCCATGTTTGCACCGCCAACTGCGCGCGCTTCGAGGGTTAACAATGTCATAAGATCATCGATTGCCGCTGCTGCCGCCCAATCGTCCAGCTCAGGGTCTCTCTCAGGCTCCTCTACCTATCAGCAGCAAATGCAGCCAGCGGCTGGTAAAGCTATTAAGTTCCAAATTGGATTTGCTCCCAACAATAAGAACCAGCACCAACATCTGAACAGCAATCACAACAGCAACAACAACAATGCCGCCGCAGCGTCAGTGAAATGCTCTGATAGCACATTGAGCGCCAAATGCAACGAAATCCCCTCAAGGTATAGATAATCGTATCGATTGCTTCTAAGTTCAGTCGAATATCAAGTCATCTCTCTACTACCTATATCGCTCTCTATTCTCTCTATTAGAATTCACCGTAATTTCGTTTTTGAACACCAACCAACCATAGTATAGTCCCTTACACTGTACTGTACCGGACAACACTGAACTGTTGTACCGTTGTACTGTTCTATAGCTTTCTCTAGTCTCTCATTACCCCACATTTACCCACCTCTAATACTCTATAGCTATCCGTACTTGGTTGATGTTGAATGTTGGCTTTCTACTTAGTCTGTGACCACAGTACTAGTATCTCTTAGCTAAACCACAAATACATAATAAACAAAAACAAAAAACAAAAAACGTTTGTACATATGTATGTATTATGTATGTACATATGATCACAGTAATCCAGTCCACTTCACTTAAACTTTCTCGCTGACCTAGTGCAATGAAACAATATACTCGTATAAGTACCTACTAAATTTTAGCTGCTGTGTAAAATGGTGCAACAAAGAAAACAATATCAATATTATCAATATCTAAGACGGTGTACGTATTGAAGAAACAGTTACTGATCACGGCAGGAACAGGTGGTGGCCGGTTTAAAATCGTAAATCCCTTGAGTTGTTTACAGTTTTTTATTTTTCGTTGAAAATTAAATAAATAAAATTGGAGAATTAAAATGTGATTTCTTATCACAACAAAAGTGAGAACAAAGAAGTTTGAAAAACATCGCTAATTGAACATAATTGAACAATGTTGAACAATGTTGAACAATTGTTGTCTAGTGTTAATTGCAGAACTATGACAAAAATTTCCGCAGCCACTATCCGACACAAACAGAAAATACCAGTACAAGTTTCAATCCGCATATTTTACCGAGCTTTTATTTAGTACGGACTTGGGTGTCGCCTAGTGTCGCAAGTAAAGATTTAAGTTGTCCTCAACTTAATAGGCACGCAGCACATAGATTTCGGTGCCCATTGCGCCCTTCTCAAAGGGCTTGGAGAGGCTAGCAACAAAGTATAATATGCTACGAAAATGTTAGCATCCAAAGAAAATGATCAAAATCCTTATTATTATATACCTGCGGTCGCTCACAAACTCGTCTTTCCTCAGCCTAGATTGAATTCCCAAGCCCCCAACACGTGACACATAAGTATACAAGTAAAAAACTTTTTGGTTCTCACTATATAATAATGTCGAATAATTGGCCGATAAATTCTTATAAATTTCACTTTTTTGGGGTTCTGTTGGTGCTGGATTCTCGGTCTTGGATAAACAAATGAAACACATCTTCAAATAGACACTAACCTCCATCAAAATGTATATATGTATGTAGATATACATATAGCTATATATTTGTATATACATATGTATATGTACATAGTAGGTTAAAACTAATCGAATGCATTCACATGTACTGGTATCTCTTGCCTATTTGTGTAGCACGAACTAGTAGCTAAGTAATTGAAAAATCTATCTGAGTAGAGCAACGCTTTATTGCGCACAACTTTATAAACGTATCCTTCAATAAAATCGCATTTCATCGAATTGTACTTAGAAACAACAATAGGAACCGGGGCGGCGCCATTTATGCTAATCAGGATCGGGACGTTGTCCCCACAGCCAACCGAGGAACGCATCCACCGTGAGTATCGCTTTAAGGAATGAGAAATAGGCGAACTTTTTATGTAATTATATTTATATCATTGCAGACGAACACGTCCCACGCTTAAGCCGTCTGGAACAATTGTCTCAAAGGCTCAAGAATTTGTAGATATATATAGATATCCACCAACACGACCGGACCCCATATATCCACAGCCCACACCCGACAAGACTGCTGCCAAGTGCCGCAAAGATGTGTGCCTCCTCCCAGACTGTTATTGTGGAGGCCGGGATATACCTGGTAAGTGGGAATTTAGTTGAGTGAATGACCAGTATCGAGCAGGGCTAGTTCTCGTGCGAAATAACGAATGCATTGCCAATAACGTGTAGGGGGCCTAAGTGTAACGGAGACACCACAAATTGTGTTGATTACGTTTGACGATGCAATCAACCCCATTAACATTGATATCTACGAGGAGCTTTTCAATAACAAGACTCGCAAGAACCCCAATGGGTGTCCTTGGCGTGCCACCTTTTACCTGTCCCACGAGTGGACGGACTATGGCATGGTACAAGATCTGTACTCTGATGGACATGAAATGGCCTCGCACACTGTTTCGTAAGTTGCGTTTACCGCTCAGTTTGGCGCTCTCCTCGAAAAATCAACATCCACAATGGCCACTGCATCAAGTCTCTGCATCTTTTTCCTACCTGCTTATCTTTATTTTCCATTTCCGGTTACGAGAATGAAAGTCTATCTTATTGCTCTACATTTTTTCATCCCATTACCGTGCATTTTCGTTTCGCGAATACTAGCCGAGCTTCCCGCTGAAAGCATACCACAAATTGTTCTTTTGACTTTCGATGATTCCGTGAATGATTTGAATAAGCAATTGTACACGGACCTGTTTGAGAAGGGGCGCGTCAATCCCAACGGGTGCCCCATCACAGCCACATTCTACGTCTCCCACGAATGGACTGATTACAGCCAGGTGCAAAATCTCTACGCCGATGGACATGAAATGGCCTCCCATACAGTTTCGTAAGTAGTCGACATCCTTGTTCGACATCTCTTCTTACACAACACACAGCACACAACAGAGAAAACGGAAGAGTCAGCACTGCACCAAGGGCGAAGCTAGTAAAATATGTTTCTATAGTTTTGAGAAATCGCCAAACCGCACAAAATTCCATTCCAACGATTCAGACTCACTTAACACAACGCTAAGCTAACAAGAACATGGCCAGAAGTGGTAGTAACTATCCTAACCAACAATTTATATCCACAGTCACAGCTTTGGCGAGCAGTTCTCGCAGAAAAAGTGGACGCGTGAAATAGCTGGCCAACGGGAGATTCTTGCGGCGTATGGTGGCGTCAAGTTGTCGGATGTTAGGGGCATGAGGGCGCCTTTCCTCTCGGTCGGCGGCAACAAAATGTATAAAATGTTGTATGACTCAAACTTCACGTACGACTCATCCATGCCGGTCTATGAAAACCGACCCCCTTCCTGGCCATACACTCTGGACTACAAGATATTCCACGATTGCATGATTCCACCCTGCCCAACCCGCTCATACCCAGGTGTGTGGCAAGTACCCATGGTCATGTGGCAGGACTTGAACGGAGGACGTTGTTCGATGGGCGACGCTTGCTCAAATCCCAGTGATGCGGAGGGTGTCACAAAAATGATTATGAAGAACTTCGAGCGGCACTACACCACAAACAGGTAAATCTAGTAAAATAGAGCCAGACGTGAACTTAATACATGTATACCCATAGAGCACCTTTCGGACTGTTCTACCATGCGGCCTGGTTTACGCAGCCCCACCATAAAGAAGGCTTCATTAAATTCCTCGACGCCATTAACGCCATGCCCGATGTGTGGATCCTAACCAACTGGCAGGCTCTGCAATGGGTGCGGGATCCAACACCCATATCACGCATTAACTCTTTCCAACCATTCCAGTGCGATTATTCGGTAAGACTCTTCTGCAACCACCCTCCGTTGACAAATCTTTAAATATATTTTTCAAATTATCTAAGGACCGGCCGAAGCGCTGCAACAACCCGAAAGTTTGCAATCTATGGCATAAGTCTGGCGTTCGCTACATGAAGACTTGTCAGCCCTGCCCCGACATCTACCCTTGGACTGGTAAGTCGGGCATCCGATCATCGCGCATCGATAATGAGAATGTTGAGGAACCAGCGGCGGCGTAAGACTTCGTTTATCATCAACACAGCAGGCTGGAGGAACAGAAGGCACAAGTAGCTATCTAAGACGCCGAATTTTCGAGGCCACGACAAGGGTAGCCCAAAATACGAAATTCACTCGTTGAAATGTTTTCATTTACGTTAATACTTTAGCTAATTTTTTAAACGACAACAGCGATCATAGTTAATTATTTTTGGAGCATGTAACTACAAATTATTTATTCCCTCTTACATACATACTTGGTACATGCTATATATAGTCTGTATATTCCTATAGATTTCTACTTATGCGTCATGTAGTTGCACACGCAAACGCAAACCCAGCAGGACCCTTCAACATGGTACATGTAAAAAAATTAGAAATTAGAAACTGTAGACTAATAAGGACTAATATTAATAATTTGTGCGTGCTTGGCAGCCCATCGAGTCCTTTTCACAACGCACAAGTACTCAAATGGCGCTTGAGGAACTACCAGCCCAGGAAGCCAGAAAGCATGGCACGTAGTGGTTAGGCTAATGTATTTTCATTTAACTTGTGATAAATATTTACAGCTGAATTTATGTATTATTAGATGTGCACAAGCCTCTTCGAAATCATATCCTGTTCTAGCCTCTCTTCAAGAATATCGCAATGTTTTTGTCTTTCTATTAAGAGTGTTTTTGTCAAACTATTGTCAAATAATTTGATTATTCCTCATTATTAATCACACATATTTGTACCCATTTCCTTTCGAATTTTATCGATAATGATTTAAACAAAACAAGCATTCACTACATTCTACTATTCCTAAGTATTTAGTACCACAACCAAGAGCAGTAGTGGCAGTATCAGACTTTTAGTGTACACGCAGAGCAAAGGAGATATAGCATATCAGCATGCTAAGAATATAAAATATTATTTAAGTTGTATACCAGTAGCATTCTGTGTAGCATGCACATCCTTTTGAATTGTTAGTCTTGGTAATGGATAAAGAGTACGATTCCTATTGGAGCATTGACTGCAAGAAGTCAATCAGCAAATGTATAAAGCGAGGACTGGGAACGACTATACATAGATAAGACGAATGATTGCCAATACTTAGCCGCGTTCTTCATGCAAATCAGTTAACTGAATCGACGTGCAAGCCAATCGAATGTAAGACAATCACGTAAGGTATAAATATGCGAAAGTATTAAGGGGATTTTAAATGCAATAATTAAAACGAAATTGATAAGCGATTAGGATTGCTATCAAACAAACGAATATATATAATACAAAGACGTAAACAAAATAGTAAACATTTCGTAGCCGGGCGCAATGTAAGAATATTTTTGACAAAACGAGTGAATTAAGTATTTTGTGCTAATGATTGTAAAAAGCTACACCTATGTATGAAAGTACGTTGCATGTCTATAATAAAGATAAATATTTAAATCATAATTAACCACTTTGAGAATCGAAAATATGAATTATCGACTTTTGCCGATAAGCAGAAGGCGGAACTCTGCCGCAGGTGCAACAATTGAAACTCATGGCGGTCACAATAACAAAAAATGTGTGTAATTTGATGAGGTGATGACCCCTAGCGTGCAACACTGCGAGGGGCTATTCGAGCAGATATAAAAGGAGCAGGATGTGGCACTCCGAACACATTTCAAACAAGTCTTCGTTTAAACGTAGCCATCATGTGGACAATGTGGATAGTGCTGGCACTGTTCACTAGCCAATGGGCTGAGATAGATGCATTAAATCAAGTCGTTTTCCCTCGTGCGTGTGTTAGCAGGCGACTTATCAATCGTTATGGTTTAAACGAAGAAATCTATGGACTGGGAAATTGTGGAGGCGGAAAATCGAATCAAATGCGCCTTCCGCGTCGCGTCGATCCCACTTTTCACGGAAACCCAAAGCCACGCGGAGAGCTGCTGGCCAACAAATTTAACATAAATTTGTATAGATTTGATCAGACCAACTCCCTTGTGGTCGCTTGTCAACAAGATAGCTCAGGAGTACTTAGAAAAGTGTCCACCGGTTATATATTACGATGCTTTTGTGGAAAAATCGGATGGACTGGTGTTGGAGACTCTATTCAAGGTTAGTTCGAAAAAATTGTCAAGTGCCAAATTGTCAAGTGCCAAACCACTGTGAAATCGAAATTATCGACATTTGCAGACCATTCCTATTACGTTTTACCATGGCGAAATTAATTCCCGCTATGAGGCCGAAAATCGACACTTTACAAGTCATATCGACAGCAATTGCAAGAGCTACATTCTGTTTCTTTCGGACCCGCTGATGGCACGTAAGATTCTGGGGCCTCAGACAGAAAGCCGCGTGGTGCTCGTCTCACGGTCAACGCAGTGGAAGCTCCGTGACTTTCTGTCATCGGAGCTGTCTTCAAATATTGTGAATTTACTGGTTATTGGAGAGTCGCTGATGGCCGACCCATTGCGTGTGAGTACAAGAGATTGTAGCTATGCATTTCTTGAAGATTCACTTACCTCTGTCGTAGGAGCGTCCGTACGTATTATACACCCACAAGCTGTACTCAGATGGTCTCGGCTCGAATACACCCGTAGTGCTCACTAGCTGGATAAAAGGCGCTCTATCGCGGCCTCACATTAATCTCTTTCCTCCAAAATTCCAAGCTGGCTTTGCAGGCCATCGATTTCAAGTGTCGGCTGCCAATCAGCCGCCCTTCATATTTCGCATACGTACTTTGGACTCTTCGGGCATGACGCAGCTGAAATGGGACGGCATGGAGTTGCGGTTGTTGAAAATGATTTCGAAGCGTCTGAACTTCTCGGTGGATATCTCAGAGGCTCCTAGAGCGCCCGATACTGGCAGCATCATTGACAACATCCAGGCAGAGATTGTCCAAAGGACAGTGGACATTGGAATGTCCGGTATTTATGTGACCGAGGAGCGTCTGCGGGAGACGGACATGTCGGTGGGACACTCGCGCGATTGTGCTGCTTTCATAACCCTGGCGTCCAAGGCGCTGCCAAAGTATAGGGCTATCATGGGCCCGTTCCAGTGGCCAGTTTGGGTGGCTCTTATTTGCGTGTACTTAGGGGCCATCGTTCCGATTGTATTCACCGACCGCTTGACGCTGAGTCATTTGCTGGGAAACTGGGGAGAGGTGGAAAATATGTTTTGGTATGTGTTTGGTATGTTCACAAATGCTTTTACCTTCACCGGAAAATACTCGTGGAGCAATACGCAGAAGAACTCCACACGAATACTTATCAGCGCCTATTGGCTCTTCACGATAATCATTACATCTTGCTATACCGGATCGATCATAGCATTTGTGACGCTGCCAGCATTTCCAGATACGGTTGACTCTGTCCTAGATTTGCTTGGGCTCTTCTTTCGTGTTGGCACGCTGGGTGAGTAGCGTCAGTCCGTAACAGAGTGCACATCTTTCACAGTTTTTTATGAATAGACAATGGAGGTTGGGAGACATGGTTCCAAAATTCTACACACATTCCCACGTCACGGCTTTACAGGAAAATGGAGTTCGTCGGGAGTCTGGAAGAAGGAATCGGAAATGTCACCCAAAGTTTCTTTTGGAATTACGCATTCCTTGGATCAAAAGCACAGCTTGAATACCTGGTCCAATCCAATTTCTCGGATGAGTAAGAACTAAGAACTTTTTCTTTGGGTCAACGATTTTTACATTGATTTTTCATCACAGAAATATATCCCGGCGATCGGCACTTCATCTGAGCGAAGAGTGTTTCGCTCTCTTCCAAATTGGTTTTCTTTTTCCCCGAGAATCCGTGTACAAGCGAAAAATCGACTCTATGATTTTGCTGGCCCAGCAGAGCGGACTTATAAGCAAAATCAACAATGAAGTAAGCTGGGTCATGCAGCGTTCTACCTCAGGTCGCTTGCTGCAGGCCAGTTCGTCCAGCTCCCTGCGAGAAATCTTCCAGGAGGAGCGCCAACTGACCACAGCGGACACGGAGGGGATGTTTCTCCTAATGGCACTCGGGTACTTTCTGGGCGGAACTGCCCTGGTATCCGAAATTGTGGGTGGAATCACCAACAAGTGCCGGCAAATCATCAAACGTTCCCGTAAGTCAGCCTCCAGCGCTTGGTCCTCCCAAAACAGTTCCGCACTTGCACCAGGTGGAAAGCGCACCTCTGTCCAGCAAATGGAGCACGATGAACGCAAGGCGGCGCGTCGCGACGTGCCGGACGAAAATGGCCCGAAAATGAGTTTCGGAATGCGAGAGTTTAATTTGACCCGCACAACGTTTCGCGAATTATATGGGAATTACAGCAGAGCAGATCAGCAACAAAGCTGTGGCCAGCATTCGGATGATGTGCAGTCCCACGCGCATGCCAACCAGGACGAATCCCTGGATTGTTTGGATGAGTTAATAGCTCATTTGGAGAAGACCGAAGCCCAAAGTGAGCCTTCTAACGAATATTTTGGTCCAAACACTGGCACTACACAATCCTAAACAAAAAAATGGCGCAAGTTATCAACTGTAGTTATCGATTTATCGGTGAAAAATTAATATCACATACATATAAATAAATACATCAGGGTGACCGTATTTTGGTATTTAATGCTACTTCATATTCATCAGTATGTTACGGTATATTTTGAAAATGAGAAGGTATATTTCTGTGGGTTCAGATTAGAGGTGAGAGAAACATCGATGTTCGTGGACATCGATGTTTTTCAATGTTTTAAAATATAGAAACAAATTTTTTTTTGCTGTAAATGAAATTTTTTTTTTAAATTCAATTGATTTAATTGAAAAGATTTTGTTCATTTTATAAAAAAATAAATAATATTTGTAGAAGCAAAAAAAAAACAAATTCAATGAGATCAGAATACAAAACTTGTTCTATAATAGCCTACCGGGCGCGCGCCGTCGGCTGCGATGAGCAGAAGGCGTTTACTTGGAAGCGTGCGCAATTGTTAGGTGTTGTACAGAAGTACCAATTTAAACAACAGATTGCAGCGTCGGAAGACGAAATGTCTAATTATAGCCATCATTGTGTTGTGGGGTTCCATCCACCGTTGCCCGTGTCTATGGCTCGGGGGTCAGAAAATTTCATGTATAATACAATCAGTTCTATTGCTTGTACACCTCTCTGCTTGTTCTACTTGTGTTATTAGTGGTGTAGTTGCGCTTGAAAAACCAAAAAGCAACGTTCCGCGTCAGCACGCCGCCCCCTGGGCCCACCAGAAAACGCGCGGAGCGCAAGAGCTGGCGCCCAGTGAAACGGCCTATAAGTGTAACAGAAAATGGTTTGGTTCCTATTGATACATAAGTTTATCTACGACATCAACTTTAAGTCTGGAGCGACGGTCCGATATGATCTGTCCAGCCTTGCTGAAAAACGTTGTGGACTCGCTTAATTTATAAATATATTTTTACACACCTTCTACGCTTCCCTCACTTTACTTACCTTGCAAAAACATCGAAAGTCGCCATAAAACATTGATGTTTCCAAAAAATTTAAAAACATCGATGCATCGATGTTTCCATCGATGTTTCTCCACCTCTAGTTCAGATGGTATATTTTTATTGTTACATCTGCGGTCACACTGCTAAAAATGTCGTCATGATCGGTCGCGTTTGTTGTTTGTTCGCAGCAGAATTCAGCCACCCACCCACCGAATAATTAGGAAAGGTGTACTGTAAAGGTGCAAAGCCAACGCTTGAGAGATAAAAAGTGCAGTTTTATGTGTTTTCGGTAATTTTTCGGTATTGCTTACATACATATCTAGTGATACATAAACGTTGCATATAGAGTTGTGTGTACGTGTGTGGAAGGGACAACAAATAAAGCATTTCCTTCCCAAGCCGCCGCCTCTTAACTGAACAACTGCAAATACTTTTGTGGTAGCGAATAAAAACGTTATGCATTGACAAAAACATTAAACAAATTGTGAACCCAATTAAATGCAATGCAAACCTAGTAAACATATTTTGATGTCTAGTGTACATAAACACATCATATATACATACAGATGTTCGCCTGCAGTGAGTCAGCCACACGCACACACAAGCACACATGAGTATACCTATGCCGTCTCTTTCATTGTCAGTGTTGTTGTTATACCCTTGCAGAGAGTGTTATAATTTTGTGATGTTGCTTGCCAACACACATAAACTCTTTCATTTTAGTGTTAATCCAGTGTTAAATAGATAATTAATCTAATACTGTAAGGGAGTATAACGCTCGGCCAGCAAAATTAATCGTCATGCAGTTAGTGTCTTCTCTTCTATGTTCGTTTGATACATTCAACAGATCTTACGTGCATTGTGTAGATGAATTAAAAAATAATTTCTGCCGGCGTAAAATGGCAGATTAAAACAAATATGAAATTGGGTCATCACTCCGCTTCTGTTCTGTTAAAGTAAACCGGTTGTATTGGTCACACAAGGTTATATTTAGGAAATTGAACAGTGCTGATCCGTTAACTATTCAACTGTCGCTGGCGACCATAGGCCATGTCTTCTTTTACGATTATGTTCAACGTAGCATAGCCAGTTCATTAACTTCATAAACCAGTAACGCACCAAAACAATACATTTCCAGATAGAGCTGCGGGCAAGACGCCAGTGCCAGTCGCCTAATAGTTGAGACAATTTTACAGTTTATTTAAAAGAATGACTCATATTCATATGTTTACCAACCTTTTTACTTATATTTGGCTTCATTGATCGTTGAACATACAAAGCAATGGCAAATACATACACATGTAACTGTTGTACATACACACAAACTTTGCCAAAGCTTCACTCGCCCACAAACGATTTCCAGACATTCATCTATGTAAAATCTCGGCCCAACTTGTTTAACAAGTCTTGTAAATCAAGTTCTCGCTTCAGTTCATAGTGTTTTTTCTAGCACAACGATTACTTATTAAAATTTGTATGTATTTTGAAAAAGCAACACTCCCATCCAAAAATTACTATAGTATGATTTTAGTACTAGTACGGCCAGAATCAATATCTAATTATTATTAATTTTAGATGTAATCAATATATTATTTTGATATAATTTCAGTGTTTTTAAATCCATAAATAGTGCAAAAATAGTTATTGTGTTACTTCAAATAACAGACGTGCAACAATGTTAAAGTTTATTCGAGGAAAGGGGCAACAGCCGACAGCAGAACGACAACGCTTGCAGAAGGATCTTTTTGCATATCGTAAGGTACGTATACATACACATGACAGTTTGGCCTTTTCCTAGACAAAGATATCAGTAGTTTCCATTTTCTTTACCGTCCTAAAAAGTCTTACTCACACCTCTTAGACAGCTTTATACCATTGCTAAGTTTTTATCAGCATTTCGTGATATGTAGTTTCATTGAACAGTTACAAGTATGGTAGACCTAAAAGCCCAAGGTTATTGTTAAAAAATTGTCAAAGTGGAGCTGATTTTTTAGTGTATCACCTTAAAATACATAAATCGGACACTATTTCGCTTCAAGGGTGTGTCAATTGACTTATTCAATTGTTGGGTCATCATATTTCATTAAAAATGTGCCTGCTATACGGCGTATGTATGTAAAAATATTTTTTTAGAACTTATTGTGCCGCTTAATAAAGTTCTTTGTAAGTACTGTACGTAATGTTTTATGACGTATGACAGTCGAATTTAATGAATCATTAGGAAAGCAAAGCCTTGTCTGAATCGGACCTCGATAAGTGGGTCAAGCGAATTGCACCATTTTTGATTAATGCTTTGCAAGCACTTTTACCTGTTGTTGAGCTACTTTTATATAAAAAGAAGGTTGAAATATAAATACACGTGCAACCATCGTCGTTGTCATCAAGTTCTTCCAACAATATCCCAATAATATCATTCACAATTCTGTCTCGATGTTTGTTGACAAAAATATATACAACATACATAGATACATAGATGTATTTAGATTTGGCTAAATAATAATATTTACGATAGATAATTTTTCTGTTCTACCTGTATACATAAATGAAAACTCTCTTTAAAATGCATCAAAACGCTAAAGTCAATATTAACATAAAAATATTTTAAAATAATATATAAAAAAGTTTAGGCAGCGGAATCCTTTGGCGAGCTAAAATTAGTAATGAATCGACCAAGCCCAAAGAATAAAAATGTACACATAGTACACTCATAGCAAATATAGTCACCAGTCGGTACCACGAAGGCAGTAGTTGATAAGATTAACTTTGTTTGTTGTATGTGCTGCTGCTGCCCTCAGAAGTACCATATACCTACATACCTACCTTTGTAGGTACATACCTATACAAAGCAAAATATCGAGCGTATTTATTGTTTGTGCAGATAGGCGTGGTATCTTCCAATGATAAGATTTCCAACAACATACATCAGATCCCAGAGAAAAGGAAATACTGCACCTGTATCTGGTTCATTATATTGTACCGTCGTTTGTTCAAGTTTTTAAAACTAGCTGCAGAATTTCTAGTTTTGTAATACAATCATTTACTATATGGGTAGATCAAGTATTCTACTTCATCAAAAAGGGCATACATCGTGTAACAAAAGAATACATGTTGCATGTAAACAATGCTTCGTTTGGGTTGCACGGCTGCAGAGCACTGAACTTTTTGAGATGCTTGGATGCCTACGCTGTCACTTCTCTCATGAAATAATGTGTCGAAAAGCAAAGTTCTTCACGGTCTGCGGGTGAAACAGTTTGTTCTTTTTCAACTTTAAATACATATATGTATTTCTTCATTATCACACTCTGCCACTATTCGAGTTTTACTGTGGCTATAGCTCAGTCTTCTTCCCGCTTTGTCCAGAAACAATGCCTGAGTTGAGCTAAAAACATCGTTGGTGTTTTTTAAAGCGAGTTATATTCAAATATATATATATATAGTTTAATCTGAACTGAGCTGTTGGTAAGGTTAAAAGAGAGAACTTTTGTTAAGGACGTAGCTTTGGTAGAAAATTGTTGTGTGATTTGTTAGTTATGAACATAAAAACTTTACCAAAACATATTCAAATAGAACATATTGACGCAGTTCCGCAAAAGTATCGTACATATATAAAAATATTAAATTTTACAGAAGTTTTTTATACCCGTACTCAAAAAGAGTTAACGGTTATATTAGATCTGTGGTAAAAGTTAATGAAATTATATGTCATTTGTGTGAATTAGTTGTCGTTCAACAAATCTAGACTATAATATGGCGACAGAATTAGATGGCAATGTGTTTCTATAGACATTTAATATTTTGGTCTCGGTGGAAATTTCTAGATATTTATTTATAATTATTAACATATTTTTATTGTTCCTATATGTTTAGACTGCGCAGCATGGGTTTCCTCACAAACCTTCCGCTCTGGCCTACGATCCTGTTGCGAAACTCATGGCGATTGGCACACAAACAGGTGCCATTAAAGTATTTGGTCAACCCGGAGTGGAGTTATATGCCCAGCATACGTTGGTCAATAATTCCGCAGCGGAGCTAAATGTTCAGTTGCTAGAGTGGGTTTACGGCACTGGCCGCATACTTTCGTTGACAGCTGCTAATCAGCTAATCCTGTGGGAACCAGTGGGAACTACACTG